CGTCAAAGTGCAGTCTCGTCGTGATGGAAAAATTAGATTGGAAATATTTGAAGCGCAAAGACAACGTAGAGGGAAATACTGGAAGGTTCATCCGATAGATTTGCACGGTTCATGACGGTCAACAAAATTAAAACAACTATAGAGCGCCCTCGAACGATAGGGTTTGCACTTTCTACTTTGTATAGAACGGATTTCACTGTATGACTAAATTATACCCTATCGCGACCCCTTCTATGTGATTGAGTGTTTATCCATCCATTAAATACATCTTCACTCGTGCCTTGTGACATAATGTTTGACGTGTACAGAGAACTGTAAAAGTGACATCATCCAAGACACATGACTCCACTCTGGTTCCTGAAACATCATCTCATCTTTAACGCATGATGACTGTATAAAAGACCTCGACCGAACAATTTTTCACACAGATGTTTTCGTAAGTAATGATGCCTTGTAAGAGACACTTCATTTGGTACACAAATCCAAAACCTTCGGGACTTATATGTAATCACTCTCCGAAGCATTCGGTGTGAAGTGAATTTCACATTTTATGGGTAGATCCTATAATCACGAAGACCCGCTGCTTAGCGGTGGAAACCGGCAACCTAAGCCTGGGGACTTAGGGTGGCGAACCATATATGGCCCTGCTGAGTGAGACGTGACATTGAACAAGATGAGAGTTGCACGCTTCTTTTTACCGGAGTTTTAAGCAGTCGGACATTGAGAACCCCCGAACTTAAGGTGTAGTAAACGATATTGTATCCCTTAATTGGGGAATTTCATACAGTAAATAGACTCGACTATTAACTATTTAGAAGTTGTAGAGAAAAACGGTTGTGGTGTGTGTGTGTACGATTACAAAAGAGCCCGTGAATTCTTTTTCGATAAGATACCACTGTGCAACGATCACACTCGATTAGTACCAGCGCCGATAAACCCCGTTCCGTTAACCCAACTGGAACTGATTTCAAAGACGTGCAGACACGTAAACGTACACGTTGATGAAGCATTGAATAAAGCGAAAGTGAGCGGAGTAATAAATAGCCGGTATGCAATTCTTATCTATTCACTTCGTATTCACAACAAAGAAAATGGCTCTCTTTCCAACTGGTGTATTGATCGAAAACCATTTAATGTAACGTGTTTCGTGACAACTAAACTTTGTACACCACTCACTATGCACTAACTGACGGGTGTGGCTGCAACAGAGCAAACAGGGATGATGAAAATGACTCAAAGTTTAATTCATAGAAGTCGAAAATATAAGAGCATTTAAAATTTTCGACGTTGCTAGAAAAACCGGAAGCAAATAGTTCGGGTAGCTGGAACGTCTGTTTTCAGTGGTATGCGCTGATTACATTTAGGAATTTGACCGCATGTCGCTCATTTTCCTAAAAAATAATCTAACTGAACTGAAACATCGTCTTCATTTTGACATAGAAAGATGAATTTCCACATGTTTCACACGACTCTGATAGGCACAGTCTCAACGTAAATTCCAGAGTTTCTTGTATGCATACCATACCTGAACAGATACGTGTATCAGTTATAAGACAACACATCAGAAAGGACAAACACTCGGTATAAACTTTTTGTGTCCCTGTCAGGACTCGAACGGTGAAACTTCGGGTTGGGACTTCAAACCCTGACCCCTGAGCTACACGGTAGACGGTCATCATCCTGTGCGAATGGCTCAATCAGTTTTAGAGTATCAAGTTTGGATTAGCCTATTGAATTGTTCAGAGGTACCAGGCATTCTTGATGGTTTTGGGTGCGTGTTTCACTTCTTGGAAGATCATTAATTCCCTACTAGTTGAATGCCATTTACTGCGATGGAAATGTCTGTGATAACCGAGCTTGCTACTCAAAAATTGATTGAACCATTCTCACAAGGTACTGGTGGTCGACCGTATAGCTCAGGAGTAAGGGTTTGAAGTCCCAGCCCGAAGAATCGCGGTTCGGGTCTTGACAGGGACACAAAAAGTACCCACTGCTGACGAGCTCCAAACAGGACGAAATAGCTATCCAGTGCTCTTTGTTGGTTATCACAAACATTTCCATCGCATGTAAATGCATGAACTTGTCGGGAATTAATCTCTCAAGGAGTGAAACCCACACCCAAGACCAAGAACATTGCTTGGCGCCTCTGAACAATAGAATGGGCTAATCCAGGCTTGATACTCTAAAATTCTATATAAACTTTCATAATTGGAATGTCTAATTTACCGCTGGGCATGACCTTACATAGGTCCCTGGTCAACAGCCTTGGGGAAAGCAATAGGCTGTCAAAAAATTTAATCGTTAATCGAAAAACAAATGGCGTTCAGAACTTTGGTTTGTAACCCATCTTTAAGTATTATCCAAGAAAAATATCTCTCAAACCAGCTCGAATACAGAGAGAGAAAGGAATTTAAGGAATAGCAGATCATTGAAAGTGAACAGAACGATCGATCGCTGGGTAGTATGCAATGAATTAGACCATCGTGATTAGGTGATAACACTGTTAGCGGAACTCACATACACATTGTTAATAAATGGATAGTACACCTTGACGGGTGAATACTTGCATGCAGTTTATCCCAATTAAAAAGGGAACGAACAATATAACCCACACGGGTGTATGGCCAAGTGATTTCAAATTTATTCATACACATACCTGCCAGATGAGAGAGCCACGTTCTTTAATGCCATTAACAGACTTTCGCCTTCCACACAGGAGAAGCTCATGTTCACACAGCCCGGATAGCGAGCGACCGGATCACCGTTCAACACCACGTGGCTCACTCGTGACATGATCCCATCAATTAGCCGATGGCTCAATCTGGACACATGTTCGTGGTCGGCCTAGGTTGGAATAAAACAATGATACAATTGGTGGAGAAAAAATGACAGTAAGGGAACAGATATAATTTTTTGAATAATTAGGTAGTTTATACGTGTGTAAAAAATCTGCATTGTACTGAGGCAATAACGATGATTACAGAAGTAATAGCTATAACCGCCTCTGAAAACCTCGGTGTGATTACGAGTGGAAGTCTTAGGTTGTCACCTTTTTTGCTCCTCATCCACTCCTCCCACAAGAACAAGCGAGTTAAAAGAGCCCTTGTGGAGGAATTCCTAATTACTGTATTTATGTGGCGGAGTTGCTTTCCAAAAAAATGAGGGAACGAAAAGCCAACAGCCGCAGCCGCAACCAAGTCGGTGAAATACAAAGGCCAAAAAACC